CAAACCAGTGTTTCTCAACCAATGTGTTGCCAAATAAGCCCAAATGTATCATTAGGTATATTAAAAATACAAAATATTCAAATATTTTTCATACGATTTATAAAAATTAGTATAGACAATTTCTATAATAGTTATATATAATATATAAGTTTTCTGTTATCGACATATTTTACATATTTTATGTTATACCAATAAAAATTAAATATCACCCATTAATCTTATTTGTTTATTGTGTGTCGCAAATTATGAAACATTTTAATAGTGTGTTGTCATAACACAAAGATTGATAAACATTGGATTAAACTATAATACTTGTACAAAACTATAAAAGTCCAAAAAAATAAAATTGATTGAATACTGTAAGGTTCTTGCATTGTTTTAAAGTTTCTTTTCCAAACAAATAATGATCGTTCGAACAAAAGCAACAATAAATAATTAAGTACAAAATTCAAAAAAAAAAAAAAACGTCTGAGTTCCAGTGCGTGTATAATTCGTCTAAAAGGATGCCAATCTATAATATAATGTTTGCAATTTGCGAAGAGGCGCTCCGACGATTAGGGTCGATGGTCGGCGGAATGGTCGTATATCGTGTGTATACGGAACACGTAGAGACAAGATAATAAACATAATTACGTGTTATTAGAATTTCTTTTAAGTAGTCATTTAAACCGATTAGACCTTCCCCCCATATAACGGAAAGTAGATTTCCTGCTGCGGGAAGAATGATTTGTGCGCGATTGACAGTTCGACCGAGTCGGATACCTTTGGTCAGCATAAATATATAAATACATGATCATATAGTGTAAAATAATACGTATAATAGTATGTAAACGAACTCGATAGACTGTAATTTATTTAAATGAGAAGTTTGTTTTTTTATTGATATAAGACATTGTATACAATAAATTCACGCTTACACTTAAATATATAGTGGTTATTTTTTCTGCGTAAGTCTATTAAAGAGGAATTATGAGAATTTTTCGAAGTCGATTAAAAACTCTACTGCGCTGAGGTAGGAAGTAGGTACCACTACAGTATAACATAGATATAGATAAGTGCGCTTTAATAATATCATAAAAATCATCACGATAGTAACCTCCAAAAAAAAAAAAACGTCCTGCACGTTATTTGATCACGTCGTTAATAGTAATAGTAGTAACTAATAATATTTATTATCATAATTATGTCGTCGATAAAAGAAGAAAATAATCGCAAATCACGTTTGGCGCCGGAAGGGTTAAGGGAAAAACGCACGCACACATCTTTTGTACAATCGTACATACCAACAATCCACGTGCCGAATCAAAAGTAATAACAACAATAATAATAGTAGTAACAAACAACGATCCATCTATTAAATACAGAAAATATTTATCACGACGTTTCACCTGATTATTGTGACGACGATGCGGATTTTAAAACACTCGTTAGTGGTACATTTTTTAATAATTATTGTTATAATATAATACATAGTATAGTGGTATATACATTTTGAGTAATAATAATAAGTTTAGTTAAGCCGCGAATAGGACGCGTAGTGCTACGTTTCGATTGTGTATTCATTTTTATATAGTATAATAAAATTATTCAGTGTGGAAAACGATTAGGAACAACAATTGAAAAAGTTTATTGTTGTGTACGACTTATAACGCATAACGAAAATATTGTATATCATTATGTTTGTTTAAAGTAATCCTTTTTAAACTTTTCAGTTTTATTTTTATTTTTAGAAGTCAAAGCAAACGCAAACAGTGGAGAAAGGCGTCGATCTCCGTGCAAAAGCAGTTGCTCATTACGCAGTTTGAAAAGAACCATCAATAATATTTTTGACCATCGGAAAATTTCTAAAATGAGAAAAGTTAAGCCGTTAAGCATCATAATTCAAACGCTCGAATTCATTAATATTGTATTTAAATATCTATCGCTCGCTACTAGCTATATTATTAGTTTATAAGCAACATCAACATTTCAACGTACCAAAATATGTGATAATAATATGTATTCACACCTAGGTATATACATATTTTATTATAATTGCGTATAATACGTGTACAGTAATCATTCACTGACTGCCTTAATTTTAAAATAAAAACATATAATTTAATATTGATTATTGCTTAATAATTTTGACTTTTATACAATATACGATTAGAAGATTAGAACTATAGCAGTTAAAAATTTCAACTATTACTTAAATAAACTGATAAACAAAATATTATATCTGAATAAGAGTTTAAAGTTTTCACTTCAATTTATTTACTATTTATATTTAAATTCGTTTGTGCTTAAATTTTATAAAGAATCTGATTATGATGTTTGGATAATATAAAAAATAAAAATGTTAATTTAAATAATATTTACTTAGGAGACTTATGGTAAGTATTATAACGCATAATTAAGGTAGAATATTTCACACAAAAAACATAAAAGTCCAGCGTTCCAATATTATAAGTAGGTATCTATTAAGGTTTTATTTTCACTTTTCAGATTACCAAAATAATTAAAAAAAAAAAAAAATATAAAAATAAATATAATATATAAATATAAAATATCAACGTATGTATATATATAGTAGGTACTACACATATACATACTTTGTTTTAATACCTATATTATTATACATGTGCGTACATCATTATAAACAAAAACAAATCGACATATCTACAGGTTTTAATCGTAAGAATTTAACGACTGCGAGTTCGTTTTACGACTAATGTTGTGCATATTATATAGTGCCGTTTTTATTTTTATTTTCCATTTTACGATATGAATCAAATTTTTGGAACCGTTTAGTATTTGACAGCCGCATAGGATGTACGGTTGGATGATATCCGGCAGAAATTTTTCGATTCGACCGCAGGCAGTCTCGGACATTGGAAAGCATTATTATTTTTGTAAACGGTGAAATAAAAAACAAAACACAAAAAATGTGAAAAATAACTCCCGCAGATTGATTATTGGATTTTTCATGGTAGCTAACGCGTTTTTAATATGGATGAAATTGAAAAAATTATATCTGTCGGAAGCTAACTATTTAAATGGATTAAACTCCTGGAAAATATTAGCTAATAATTACCATTAATAATATTTACGATTTAACGAATTCACTTATACTATTGTATCTACATTTGTACTCTCAAATTATGAAATTTCAAATAAATTATTTATAAAAAATATTCTTTACATATTTAACTATTTAACACTTTAAATTGGATGTTCGCATTGTTAAATTATAAGGCGACTAGAGTGATTATAATAAGGAAGAAGATAGTTTCCATTTGAATTAAATAATAATTATACTATAGACATAATACTTTGTTAAAATATTGTTTTAAATTCTCTTCAAGTTATTTTTCTTTAAAAAATATATATTGGGGTTAATTCGTTTTAAATGACTATATATATTATTATACATATTTGATCGTATACACCAATGAGTTGAATATAAAAATCATACACATAACATATATACTAAAGATATACGTAGATTATAGTAATTAAATGCATAACTTATCATTATTGCGAGTATTATATTTTAAAAATCTAAAATTATTTAAACATTTTAAAATTTTTTAACAATAGTGTAGAAAAGAATGGTTATTTTTTGCAAAATGCTCTTAAAGGAATTAAAATAGTCCTATTTTTGTGCTTAATAAACTAAAAAATAATTCTGAATACGTAGGTGTGAGTAAATATTAAATTAATCTAAAAAGTAGTAAAAACTAAAAATAAAATCAGAAAATTAATAAATACCCATTACAACTAATTGTAGTACCATGTAAATGATGAGTAATAAATACATTTTTGACAAAATAGAAATAATCATGATATCTGTACAAAATATTATTCGACCTTAATGAAAGGCGTTAGTATAAATATTCTGATTTCATAAAAAAAAAAAAAATAATTAAAAAATGTTATACTATGAATTCTTCGTTTATAATTTTAAAACTATTTTATTAGTTATAAAAAATAACAATTCGTTTTTGGTTTAGTGTATCAATAATACAATGAGGAAATGAGGACAACTATAGAAAAATACGTAGTTAGATCGTTTTATCGTCTACATTCACTCGACAAAAAAATTATTTATTCAATTTTAGCTTTATCCTTTATAAATGAAATAAAATAATTTCTTTACCTTTATAATTTTATTTACTGTGAGGTTTTTATACAATGACTTAACAAGTGCATCACGAAAACAAAATCTAAAAATATTAACACTTATAAATAATTTTAAAATATTAACTATTATAATATTTCACTTTCGTAATAGATAAAATACACAAAAACTAAGATCGAATTGTATCAGTTTACTCAAACAGGATACAAGTGTCATGAATGTTATTGAGAAAAACTTCACAAATTTTTTTTTTAAATCTACTACTAAGTATAATGTGGTTGTTATTTTTTTTTTTTTTTTATGAAATTCTAACACTGTAAATTATTATATCTTGACAATTACAATAACAACTAAAACTTTATAATATAAACAGAAAGAAAAGAAGTAAAAGTTGTAAAGCTCACATAATATTATATTTTTAAGCCTGTTTGCAATATAAAATTAAGTATATGCTTTACAATATAACTGTATTATTGGATTAAAGAATATTAATAAGAAAAAAGTTGAGATCAAGAGAGGAAAAAGTGTTCTTTAATTGAGTTTTAAGGTGTGAAAAAGAAGGATTAAATATGATGTTATTTTAACGTTTTAACTTATATTTAATATATTCATATTAATTAATAGTTTTTTTAAATGGTTGGTAGTGTATAAACTGAATTATTTTTTAATTTGATTTATAATATATTGTAGTTGGAATACTAATTTCGGCTTCAAAAGTTACAAAGAAATAGAAAAAATTATTTAAACGTGAAGCCCAATAATAATATGTTTTATAATAATTCATAATATACCTGCTGCAGTAACAGATTAACATTATTTTTCTTATATTTTATCGAACAAAATGTTTGTAAATATGTATATAATAATGTAAACTCACCACAAAACTCATAATTTGTTGAAGTTTGGACACATTCACAATCATAACGTCACGTGCACGCGCACTATAAGTACTAAAATACCTATATACTTCAAAATCTTATATTTTCCACAGTATATGAATTCTTCACCAATACTTGCGGTGCTGCAGTTATAAATACGCGTGTGATAAATTCTAAAAAATATGTTTTTTATGATTTATGTTATAAAAAATTGGATTAAACGAATAAATAAAAATATTTATAACAGTAAAACCGAAAACAAACTAAATTGACAATATGTTTAAACACGAATTATAATAATACTTATACGTTTATGGAAACCGATCGACAGAGTCCAGAATTCAACAGCGGTCATGGTTGGGCAGCCGACCCGCCAAGTGCGTGAATGGACACCTCGTGGACCGCGGAGACTGCGTCAGATAACAACTGGTGCATCGTTGGCGAAGGAGGAGGTAGTTGTGGTGGCGGACCAAGGCGCTTCGCATCTTGTGGTAACACTCCTATCTATATACAGTATAATATGGACATACCAATGTCCGATATATAAATAATTAGCCCACTTTTTTTTTTACGTATTGTGCATTTCATCTTTAAACATAAATGGTCGCTGATACGTATTATGACATGTATATTATGTGTGTGTCATGAGTTCGCGTATTTTGTTATAATATCACACAAATTTTAAGTATTTGTTTAACATTATATTGGTATTAGATAGAGGTATTGTTTGCATGTACATTAGAAATCCCGCACGGCGATACAAAAGTCACTCAAACGCGTCATGATAAATAATTATAATTCTTATTTATTGTTGGCTGCTGCCATATGAATATTGGACCAAAGGAAACATTACGTGAAAAGGAAATACACTTTTATTTTTTTAGTTTTTAATTGTTGTTTAGAATGATATTATAACAAATATACGAAAACAATGCTCCACGCTTGCTCGCTCTAACACTACATGGCGAATTCATTATAAATACATAATACCGTTTAAATGACCACAACATTTGTTTATTTAAATATTTAAAACGTGTAACTACGTTTTTGAAAAAATGAGGCTTTTAATCATTGTACAAATTATGTTTTATTTATATATGTATACCTTTTTCTGTAAACACTAATTTAGTACTGAATTTTAACTAAATTTTTGTTCTTACAAATAGTCTCCCCAACTAGACAGATATTTTTCTTTTATTCAAGACTATTTACAATTTGTAATAACACAATAAATTAATTAATTAGTTGATACAATATCTTATAATAGTTGAGACACCGAAATAGTTATTTAATTACATTTTTTGTTAATTTGTGTTAGCAAAAAAAGATTAATATGATATAATTATAAATAAATCGAAGACTATTTGAAATATTATGGTGGAGATACCTATAATTTACACTCTGCAAATGTGCACGAAAAAAGATTTATAATAAAATTTAGACATTGTTTTAAATTGAATGTATAAGAATCTCCGCATGAAACCCGTTTGATGGGTCCAATTTTTTCTTTAGTATGGCGGATTTAAAAGTGATCTTACCTGCAGTTGACGTAACGAACAGCAAACTACAGAAGTTTAAATAAATGGGCATACACTCATTTTGATAGTCCTAACAATCATGAAACTGTGTTGGATCACTCTTATAGTTTTACATGGTATCTATTTATCTGAGTATTTCTTTATTATTTATCATTAAATGTAAACCGTGTAAAAACTACAAAAAAAGAAGTGGATATCTTTTTTTTTTAAGTTTTCAGCGCTTCGATTTGGAATTATTCGGGTTTGTCATAATGGCCCTATAGATCCTAAAATAAAATAGCAGAAATTAATGGTAGCGCACCTGTGTTGATCACGTGATTCAAGATACCATTACAATTCAAAAGTTTACGAGAACGAATAATCAAAAGTAGATATGTAGACTTACGCAAGAATCAATTATAGTACCCGTGTGAGTTGTACCTACTAATATGTTTTTTAATGCAGTATTGTCAGTTAAATTGATGAAGTCCGAGCATTGACGATTTGCTTATTAGAAATGAGTTACCTAAAATCAACGGATATATTACTATCGGCATATTGAATACTATTAATTACCCTTCTGTATTACCTTCATGAATCGCCAACGAGGCAAATAATGTTATTGAAAAAAATTAATTGGTATTTTTCTTTATTGGTTGGTGAGTTTGAATGAAATGACAATATCGTTTAAGCTTGCTAATTAGGTGATGCTGACTTATTTGTAAATTACTATTTCTTCTTTTATTGTTCGTATTTGATACACTAAACGGACTAGATGACATAAATACATACGTAAAATAAATCTAAACAGCGATAACGAACCGAACATATCGGATGTGTACATGTCTGTTTTGCTAAATTGTAGTACTGCAGTAGCGTATTTATGGGGCAGATGACGCAGATAGATCTGCTCCCAAGTCCTTTATATGTATATGTATATAAATATATGATAAGTATATGTCAATATATTACATTGTTATCTTAGCTGAGCTAAAAAAGTGGAAATTAAAATAGTATATGGAGATGCTAACGTGAAAAGTGGGTTAGAAACATTAAAAAGTTATGATAAAGAAATAAACCTAAACATTTATTTTCTTTTAAAATTATATTGTACGTTTCTAGTATATCCACTATCACATCAGAACAAAGCTTCTCAAGCTTAAAGCGAGTAAAAACTTATTTACATAATTCAATGAGTTAAGTAAGTACAAATATGCAGCATTGCAATTTGCAGTAACAATTTTAATAAAATATAAGTATAATTTTTTCGTTTTATATATATAAAAAGACTGATTATAGGCTGACAATAATATTCATCGATTGAAACGTTATAGTAAATATTGAAGAAGTAATTAATGAAATTTCCCACAAACCACGAACAACAGATCTTATTTTATAAAAGAATTTATGTATTAATATGTTGGCGTGTGTATTACCAACAATAAATAAATAAAATATTTATACAATATAAGTCTACTAATCACCATACTAGTGGCATAATTGTGGAGATTAAATGGAGGTATTTGCTCCCCCCTAACAATTTCGTGAGAGGTAAAGATATCATTTCCTCCCCAGATAATCCAACTATATAAATATACAGAGTCTTGATCACGGTAAATAAATTATTTTTGCATCTCTATTCTCTAGATTTTTTCCCAGTTACGCCACTACACCATACAGTATACGATACATATTGAATAAGTATAACAATACTTAAACATAGTGTATAAATGTATCTTAAGGCTTTTTTATGAAAAGTAAAGTAAAACAGAAATATTACAAATTTTTATTACAACAGAACAATTTTTTATATGTTAAATGCCGTTATATAGTTAGATAACAAAATGTTTATATTCATTGTTTGTCCCTAACATAAATCCGTAAATACGCCACTGCGTAGTGAAATAAATTCAAAATATGATGGCGCAGCATTAAAAACTATATTTTACTTATTCAGAATTCACTAACTCGAGGGAAGCTCTGCCACTCTAAACCACCTCTATCTACCATAAAATTGTAACAACAAAAACTAAATACAGTGGAACCTCGATAACTCGAACTTCTGTAAGTCGAATTTTCGATAACTCGAAAGAATGTCTTGGCTCCTACTTTATAACATATCATATGTGTAAGTGTGTAACCTCTGTAAGTCGAATTTTCGATAACTTGAATTTTTTTTCGCCCCCAACTGATTCGAGTTATTGAGGTTCCACTTTACTTATCTATATAAATAAATAAATAACATATTATAAATACGTTGTCAAAATTATAAACAACCCTTTACCACAGATTTTAAAAAATTTTTCCTAAAAGAAAATTTTATATTTTTTATAAATCTACCTATCTTAATTATTATCCTTCATAATATACTGTTGTGAATTATAAAATATTTATTATTATTTTTTTTTTTTTAAGAGAAATTTACAATCTGTACAATAGAGAACAATAAGTAAATATAAAAAATAATGAATATAATAAATTGAAATGAGTTTCATGCAATCATGAAGATTGAAAAAGAATAGGGAAGAGGCCAATTAGCAACACCCTCTTAGATTGTTATTTAATGAGCAGTTTATCATAATAAGTTACAAGACCACTAATTTTTTATGCGTGTCGTATAGGGTTTTCAGGTTGGGTGTGAGAGGACATATTTTTTTAAGTGGGTTTGTGTGAGAGTTAAGTTTGAAATGGAATCGTTTGTAGTATGCCTAGTTTAACCTAGCTCTTTAACATTTGTGATGTTGAGATCTTTGTAAAGAGGAGCATTATTGATAAACCCCGGTGCGCTTGTGAAATAATATATCTATACGTTTTATTTTTATTTAGAAATTCATATTAAATTTATATCATAATATTATTTCATCTCTCTATTTTTATACATGTTCAAAGTTCGAATTACCCATGACAAATAGATGGTTTTAAAAAAAAATCAAAAACTTTTCAATTAGGATTATTGACTAAAATTTTTACAGCGTTAGATATTTTGTTAAAGTATCTACGCTATAGGTTAAAAATATTGAAATATTTTTTAGGATAACTGGTAGAATTACCAATAAGTAATCTAACCACACGATTAAGCGCAAAATATCACTTGATATCATGTATTACACAAATTTTCAAATTTTGGCAATATTTTCATCGATAGACAAAATATTTGATATCTATATATTATCTATATTTATTAAACGAAAAGCATATTATTTGACTTCATTTTGTGACCAGAAATAGCGAAACTTCTAAAATTCAGGTTTTATGAAGGGTTATTTTACGATTACAATAAACAAAAGTTCATTAATACATCTTATAGAAAACCAGGCGCGGGTTTAAGGAAAGTAATATTAAGGTATTTAGTACACCTCCGCCCAGTAAATTATTATAATTATTAGTTTATTTATTATTTTTTTTTTTTTTTTATTAAAACTTATCAGTAGGTATGTTAATATTAATTTGAGCTAAATAAGTAGTTTTAGCTAATTTTTTTTTTAATTAAGATAGTTATAACTTACCAAAATTGAAAATCCATGATTTCAGCATAAGTTATCTTCCGAATCTTAAAATATTATCCGACGATTGTCAAACTATTCCCATAATAGCTTTATTTATAGTTATAGTACCTATATAAACAATCAATCAACAGCATAAAAAAGAAATTATTTTCTTTCAATAACTATTTAACTAATTTAATAGCTGTAAATAATTATGAATGTGTAGAATGAATTTTATGACAGTTTACTATAAATCTGTAGATTTAAAAATCAAAAGACTTTTTATAAAGTGAAAATCTAGTGGTATAGTCACAGTGTGACTCTCGTGACATGACATATATCCTCGACATCTATCAATCGTAAACACTACGTCATTGGAAACATGTTGTTATAATATAAAAAAATTTACCCAGTATTCCAACTATTAATTTAAAACCGTGATATATTTATAGGTTACACAATTTAGCACCTTAATAATTAGCCACTGCATGCCGTTCCCAAAACGAATTTGAGATAAAAATTAATAAAAAGGGAAAGGAATATTATCAACGTTACGGTATTTTTACAGAGTGAATATTTTATTTGTACGTATGAAGTACATTTATGTAATTATTTTAACAGAATCTTAACTATTCAAACACAAATATCGTAATAAGTTGATAAACTGTCTAGAGTTTGAGGAAATTTTAAACGGTGCAGCTACTGCTTCCGGATGGAAAAAATGCATAGCGTAATAAGTAGAAATGAAAATAAAAATTTCTTAACTGTTGCATGTGCGTATATGTTACACACACTTGTAAATAATCAACGGCTGCTATGAGTTATGAAAACTGAAATAACAACCGTAAAAAAAAAAAAACGTTTATTTTTAGCGAATTTATATCTATACACTATATGACGTAGGTACTTACTAAATAAATAGCTGTGCAGCTATTATATTATTATATACCTACCACACTACCACACTTGTCGCTGACGGCATACACAAGCACAATTATAATATGTGGAAAACGAATGATTTGAATATACTCAGCCAGCACTCTTGTAAGTAGTTATCGGTGGTACGTATATGACATCGCAGTGCGAATAATACGATACATCTATTAGCTGCTGACCTACACCACACTTGAGTGAAATACTCTTGGAAAGTATACTGTTGGAATAATCAATCGAACACTTGATGAAAAATAGTATTCCGAATAGAATATTTAAAACGCTATCATCGCATTACAAAATATGCTTAAAATGCAATTTTAATACTACAAAAGTATTCCGAATAACGCACTTTCGAAGGTATTAAGAGCATGGCATTAAATACTTTTGGGAAACAGCAGTGTTCTAACGGCGTCCCGGACTCTCGTATTTGGATTACTGCCCAAGGCCGAGCATGGATATACAATAACCATGTCCCCGTAATCGAACATCGACAACTCTCCGATATGTATACGGGTCCCTTAACTCATCAGGTGCCCCTGACCACTCTACCTGTAAACTACACGGAAATTATTCGGTAACTAGGTTCGTGGTGACTGAGCGAAGCAAACAATTCGTCCAGCGTTATGATATTTACGACGTAATCACAATCAAAAAAACTGTTTGTAATCGGACGGACGGAATTGGGTTGTCGCGTGCTGGCGTGCGATAATAATAATAACCAACACTCGGCGCATAGCTGGACGTAGCGTAAGATATAATACCATATCGCACCGCGTACGACTGACACAACACCGCCGCCGCTGCCGCCCGATTCTCGGAAACGGTGAAAATAATAATATAATATTATTCCGGTAATACGCAATGACAATAAATAGCGAAGAATAATAGGGATCGACGTCGTCTGCCGACTACAGTGACGTCGTGATTTATTATTTCTTGTGCAAACGAAACGGAACCAATCGGTAATGTGACCGGTCCGCGGCGTGCCGACTCTGTGTTGTTGTAGACGTCATAATACAACGATATTGGGTAGTATAAAATATTGCGATGGGGCCCTACGGCGGAAGCCGACGCTGATGACCGTCGGTGTCCCGGACATAAGACATTCTATTTCCTGACCGATGTTTTCGCGGGTATGGGTGTAAGTAAAATCGTTCAACGTGACTGTCCAACAACCTGTGAATTGTACGAAAAATAATCGAGAATATGTTGTAGGGACGGTACTACGGTAGGGTATAATAATTACAGTCAAGTGTCCGACGAGTAGCGACAATTTGATTCACGGTATTTGTCTTTGAAAAACTGTCAGGGCCAGTTTGCTATAACGGCTGAAACCGAACTTCGACCGCGTTCCGCGCTGCTAATTTGTACTTATAAGTCAATGGTTCACGACTTAGTCGGGAGAGGGAGAATTCCAAGGGGAGAATTTCGAGAATTTTGTCGTTAAGATAATTACACTAATTCACAATCAGTAAATTATTATCAAAAATAATATCCCCACGGAATTATGAACTTGGTGAGAAAAAAAACGATCTCAAATTGTTCATTAAATTTATTTTACTTATAATATTTATTAAAAAAATATCCATGAAATTGATGTATACAAAAATATAAAAATAATATTATTAATTATCAAGCTGATTTAAATTTTATTCTTAAAATTATGATAAAAAATAAATAAATCATCATAGGAAGTTGGTTTATGTATAGTTATTTTATATCATTAAACAAAACAAAAAAAATATTTTTAACTCTAATTAAAGGGGAGCATGAGATTTTTTTATAATTTACAAGGTGGGCATACGATAAAAAAAAGTTAGTAACCACTATTATAAATGAACCATCTATAAACCAACAAATAAGCTAACCGTCTCAATTACTACTCGGGCAGATAAATACAAAGATACTTACCATTTTGGTGATGGGTTTGGACGGTTGGTTAATGCTGCCATCACACATACTCTCCCGCATGACCTGTATATACTCGTAATAATATATGTTTTAAATTATAAATTGTATGTGCTGTGTACGTCATTAAAGAAATTTTGTTTTTATAATTTTTTTAATTTTTTTTCTAGCATTATAATTTGTTTAAGTATTTGAAATAAGTATCTTTGGATTTCTTAAATTTACCATTTTTCATCAAAATTATTGTGTTTAAAACCATAAAAAATTTTAAAATTTCTTTTTTTTCAGCACGCAATGTACCTTTGGTTGAAGTGGCGATGGCTATGAAGGCTATTTACTTATATGACTTCCTAGTATTATACACTTTAGAACCTATACCGGCTATACCTCTAATATATATTTCATTCAAATACACGATACCCAATGTATATGTTTAAAAACGTATTAAGAAAGTAATGTTTTATTTTTAATAATATGTAATTTTCAAACATTTAAAACATGTTTGCGCTCGATATTGGGTCAAGAACGCTTATGCGAGTATTTATTTTACTTGTTAACAAGAAAATGGCTATACCAGTGAATGATATTGATCACAAATTCATAAAATTGAATAAGAAAAACCAGTGATAATTAGGTTTTATTAAAAATTTTAACTTATATTTTGTTGATTTTTTTTCGCAATAAATAATTTGGTTTCTTACTTGTTGATTTATTATAAAATAGTTTTTTATAAAAAAAAATATTGCAAATAATACAAACACATATTTCTGGGATAAACATTTTATAATGCATTTACTTAAATTATTTAATACTTAAATGTATTCGCGCGTGTGAGTTGTGATGATCTACCAACTACCAATAATGAAAATGCGATTTAAATTATGCATTTAAAAATTACTGTGAACTTAAAAAGTTAAAATATACTGTTTCTTCTACACATTTTTAATTTTTAAAACAAGATCGGTAATTAAAAATGTATAATAATTTTAATATTTCTCACTTGCTTTTAAATATTACTGTAAACGTGAATATTTTAAAGTAAAATGACCCAGAAACCATTAGTTTATCATAATATTGTTTACAGGTATGCATTTACTGCGTAGACTGCAAAAAATACATTATAATATGGTGGAAGTTATGCAACAGATTGATGACAATAGTATTATATAAACAAAAAAAAGTAATAGTAATATTGTAGATATTATATATACTATAAAATTTTTCTAACAGAGTACAGATACAAATACAAAAGACGCACGCCGGACGGACATGTGCACAATGCTCATGCTCACCACTCCTCGTGTTTCGACTCTCGGTGCAGGCCGCAGGGTCAAAAAACGATACAGCTTAATTCGTAGGTACGCGTTATATTATTTTTATTATTATAAACAATGCGTATACTATATATTTATCATATAAACTATATAATATACAAGATGTAATATTAATTTTTCACGTTTTTATTATGATATGTCTCTATATGATTAGGTGTTTTAGATATCTTTGTCTAAACGCTTCATGGCAGTACCTAACACCTATCACGTATTACGACATTTTCAACAGCATTCCAACCCACAAATAATTAATATGAACATTTGGTTAATACGCAATCAATGAATAACAATAATCTTAATAATTCACCACAATAAAAGCTGTATCATTATACAGCTGACGTGGTGCTACACACTGAAGTACGATAAAAGGATACGCAATAAATACTAGAAATAATGTATAATATATTGGAAATTTGGACATTGACATTGTGGTTTAATATGATAACGAATAACAATAGATGTTACTACATCTATGTACCTATGTACCATCATGTACCTATGTATTTTTTAAACATACCTATTTACTTTATCTGGAAGATTTTAACTTCTAATATCTACATAGGTATAATTATGTTTGTATAACAATACGGCTTACAAATGTCAATATTAAAGATTAAAAGTTGACAAAAGCAAATAAAATAAAATATCTAGACATTTTTTATATGCGATAGAATCTGAGTACCACCCGAGTTGTACCAATGTAAATACTAATATCGTTTGTAAAAAAAAAATCATTTAAATGCGTAATGTCATAAATCATAATATATAGACAATAATAGAAGATGTGTATTAAGTCATAACTGTACAAGAATACAGTTTTTTTTATTTAATTCATCATTAAAAATTCATTTATTTTGTTTGTTTCCCACGATGTTCAAATTATAAATTTAGTTACTTGCATTGCATCGTTAAAAAACGAAAATAGGAAACTTTTATACAAAGATAAGTTGTTTAAAATGCCAATAGTAAAAAATCGATTCCATCGTTATTATATTTATTACTTTGTGAATAATAAAAAACATTTCAAGTGATAATCGTAAAAATAAAAATATGTAATTGTCTTAGGTACCTACCTAACGTATAATAGTAATACCTACGACGAGAATTTCACTACCTATATAAATGTTATATATATATAATAAGATTCACAAAACAAAATATTTTTCGTGCTCTAATATCATATACCAGTTGATTACTATATCAGTCTATACGTCACATCCACATAGTGAAACCACTCATTTCATGAACTGAATATCCGGATAGTGAAATTCGTCCAGATTGTGAATTTTGACGAAAATACTTTATATGGACATCTATTCCATGAAATGGACAATACTTATATTGTGTACTTATCTGTGTAATAATTATAGAACAATTTTTTTGTTATTTACTAATAAATTATATTATAATATACGAGTATAATAATTGTATATTATATTTTATAAATTACAGTGTTCCCGATAAAGTATAATTATGAAATAATATCCTTATTATTTATTTTTTTATGACAATTGATTATGACATCAACTATTACATTTACCTACATAGTATGTTACTTTTAAAACATGTACTCTGATTTGATTAGCATTGATTAATTTCAAAATTGTCTACTCTTTTTTTGTTTCCTAATTAAAAATAATTTTAAACTAAGATCTAAAAGGACATTTTAACTATATTCTATTACCTACCTTGATCATTTTCTCTACAGCTATAATTTGACTTTCGTCTCTACATTCACGTTTAATTTATATTTTCATACTTGAATCGCATAATTGGCAAATAATTTTATTATTTTCAGCAATCCCCGATAATAACAATCTCACTTAAACTTTATAAATGCTGCAGGCAATTAAGAATTTTTAATTTCTTTTATTAGAAATGTATGTTAGAAATCTCCCGTTGTTATTTTTTTTCAACAGATCAAATGGTAAATTTGAAGTAATTAGTCCAATTTTTGGGTTATTTATAAACAAAGGACAAAGGTTCATAAAGGCTACGTCCAATTTTTCGATGAAATGAATTATTTTTTAGAATTAAACATAATTTAATCCAATGCTCTACTTTTTGGCTTTGTTATCAGTTAGCCAATCTCGTAACATCCTGATTAGACCTCTAAATACTTCTCTGATTTCGAGGGTGTCTAGAGCGTATGCCATAATCAATCGTCATGAAAAATAAATAATAAGGATATTATTTTATAATAATACTTCATAGATAACACTGTCGTTTATAAAATATAATATGCAATTATACCTATACATAATAATAATGTAATATATGTATGGTGTATGAAATATATTATATAATATAATATAATTAATTGGTAAATAACAAAAAAAAAATTCTTTAATAATAATACAAGAACTGAAAATTTAATATTTTCAAAAATAAACACATCAAAATATTATAACAGCTATTCAACTGCAGGATTAAGACTACGAAAAGCTACCTCACAAATAAAAAACTATCAACAATTTATCATTTTTAAGTTATTGGTAAAGAAGTGGTTATTAAGTAATAAATTAATTGTATAAAAAAATTTCATCAACAATGTAAACAATAACATGAATATTTTAAACAGTGGCGTATTTATAAACTTATTTTGAGGAGGAGTGTTATAATAGTGACAAAGGCGGAAAATAATTTTAGTCACACCAACTCATGATTTTTTCCGAGATTGTCCCTGTATCTACCCCCCCCCCACCCACCATAATCGAACTGATTTTATATTATAAATACTATACACTAAACTTATTTTACTTATAATTGATAAATTAATTTCTATTATTATATTATTTTTATAATTATTATCAATTTTCTTCTTTTATTATATTCATTTCTTAGTTATTTAATTTTTTTTTTAAGACTCCCATTTTTCAAAACAAGGATTTTATCCTTAGTGATGGACGGTGCAGTGTTATATCAATAAATGTATAAACAAATTTTTTTTGTAAATATCAATACTGCTAAATAAATATTTTTATTATTATTATAATAATTACACAAAGTAGGTACACAATATAGGTATTGTCCATTTCATGAAATGGATATCAATATAATGTATTTTCGTCAAAATTTACGATCTAGACAAATTTTACAAGCTGGATATTCAGTTCATAAATAAATGGTTTTTACATGAGGATGCGACAAGTAAAAATGTTATTCATATTTTTATTGTTATGATCGATTTCTGCTAATAAATATAAGATTAATTTGAACAATACATTAATTCAACGATGATATACCAATATATTCCTGAGTATGTAAATGTAAAAGGAATAGAACACAAAATGCGCCACACATTTAATCAGAATTATATTTTAAACTCTGGTGTGAAAAATGAATATAATTTCAGTTCAAAACTGGAACAATCTAGCCATCTTCTAGGCGGAAATTGTGATTAGTCTTTTATAGAATAAAATAAATAATAATCTTTCTAAAATAAAATTCAGCGTACGCCACTCGGTATAAGAAATATTGAATAGGTTACATAGTTCTGTGTATTTAAATTTTAAACGTTATACAATATGTAAACAATTAAATTTGAAAATTAAAATTACGTAATAAAATAGGTATACCCAATTAAAATAATAATAGCAAATTTAATTTTTTTATTTTGGTGAATTACTGACATCCAGTTGTTTTCGATTATTTTAAATTTTACATTTATTTTCTCTATCCAACTTTGCACTACTTTAAATTTCAAAGGCAAATACAGGGGTGCATAGGGGCATCCCTTCTCGTTCACAAAAAAGTTATCAAATATTCCATTTATAATAATTGTGACTAAAATATTCATGCATATTATCGAAAGATGGTCATTATTGTATTTAGTATTTACCATGAACATTTAATTATTTTCATGTCGACTAATAATAAGACAATTTTTATGCCTAACTATTACTATTAATTTATTTTATTCGTTTATACACATATATTGCCCCCCCCCCCGTTTAAGACCTATGTATTCGCCATGGAAATGTGTAATATTTATATCATTGAAAAATACTTTAATATAATAGTGCTCACCTATTATCATATTAAAGTAAATGGTTTTTAGTTTGTCGCCACTAACTGAGAAAACTACAGAAAGGATTTTTCCGAATTTTCGCAGAGGGATTCCGGCTAATCCCTAGGTTTTCTTTTTAATTTTAACCTTCAATACACTTTTTACCACCCTTCCCAAAAAAAAATTTGGAGTAAACATTTTGTTAATTTACCTTGGTAAATAGACTTGTTTGTTATTTTGGTAACATGTGTCAAATTTCGTCGTCTGATTGTAAATCTTAATAACATTACTTATTAGAAACATCATGTTTTTTGTCATTATACATATTTTATCTGAACGTTGAAAAAACAATATATTATTAATGTTAGAAATTGATTTTAAAAATTAACTCGTAGATAAAAGCATACTACTAACATTGAAATATATTATAATATTATGGCCGAAAAGAGAGATTTATATCCCCTAAATGGACTCTGTTTTCTTTTATTTTATCAATTGTAAAATAAATAAATAATTTGTCTAGATAAACATATAAAATACCTATCGTTTGTGATTTCATAACATTTCTGTTTCTTAATGTCTTTATGATAATGACGCTTGTGTTCGGTCTTTCATGCAAGATAACAGAATTTCCATTCCATTTAATTATTGAGCAGACTCCAACGCCGTCGTCGTGACATAAATCACAGCTGTAGGTACATATTATACTCGTATTATTGTTATTATTATTTTAATCTATATACATTTGTATAACATTTCATACATTATATATTTATATTATATAGCGTTCACGCTCTCTCTGTACACTTACAAAACAATAATAATTCAGTGCAAATGTAAAAAAGTACACAAAGTTCTATTATTCGTATAACATATAATTCTTGTAGACGAATACTATGCACGTATGCAACAGTATTCATGAATAATAATTATGACACTCGGATACAAATAGTATTAACATTATAAAATATTGTAATAGTACCTGTGTATAAATGAAAAGAAAACACGTACAAAAATAAAAGTATTCATTAAACAGTTTACACTAGGTTTGACCGGTAATCGTCTTCGATGCGTTCTAAATGAGTGCTCAAAAATTCATCCACTGTATCAGTGTCCCATCGTTCAATTGCCAAAACCTCGAAATTAAATATTATGTTAGTAATTATAGTAGGCACTTTAATAGAAATATTTTAATGTATATTATAATAAATTATAATATTATGTAGTTGTTGATTTGTTTGTCTTTTAATACTAAATTGTTTATCATATATATATATACACAAATAAAAGTATAGTAAGATATATTAAAAATGTAAACCTAAAATAAATTATCTAAATTCCGAATCTGTATAAAAACTATATCTCAACAGTTTCAACAGCTCGCAAATAACACATGTCTCACATTAGTTATACTAAATAATTTAAAGGTAATTTATAAATTATAATGGTTTTATTAAATATTATACCTCTTGCACATTTCCACTGCTATCCATGAGTTTAATTAGTGGATCCAACCCACGTACATATCTGATCGTTAAGTTCGGGTACTTGTTGGGGCGATCACTTTTTATAAATGCTAAAACAATACAAAATGATATAATTCCTACTTTGTATTAATCATTATTTATTTACAATAAAAATATATAATGTTTGAACACAAGCCATCAATTAAGATCGAATATCTTTTTAAAAATTATGTAGTTTGGTATTTCGTTATGAGTAACACCAAGTCAACTGGCTACGCAAGACAGCATTGCTTTATACTCAATAGATAACCGTTCACAAAACAAACTTAACTACTTACCTAACGTATATTAAGTAAATTTATATTTGTGTGTGAACACAGCGTATTTAGTTGGGTATGCTCGATCAGAAGCATAGGTAACTAAATTGCCAAGTAGCAGACAATTGCTAAATATTAATAACTCATTATTCATTAATAATGAGTTACGAGGATGAATTGGGTGTATTAAGTGACGTGTGTATAAGGACACATAGGTGTTTTTGTACATTATAATCTAATAAAAATTTCAACAATGTATACGGGTATACATTTTTACAATAGTACAATTAAAAAATGATTCATAAATAGTTATAATAAGATGTTTAAGAATCTTATAATATAGTAAATAGTAAATATGGCCCAACGAACAACAATAATACCTAACTATAATATGAATAGTAGTTTTAAGTTTTAACCAATTAGTATACTTACAATATAATATAGATTAATAAAACATATTAAATCAATAACTCGAATAGTTTTACTCACAATATCATCACGTAGTCTATTAGCCATCAAAAAGAGCCGAACCCTTTTATCTAAATAAATTATAATACAATTCACACACTTGTAAAAATAAATATAACGATACATTTTTCAACTATTTCGAGTCAATACAATAAACTAAAATCGTAGGTGTAGTAAAATAGATAAGTTATTCGAGCTATTATTAAAATATAAACACACAACATACAAATAAATACAACTATGAAAAATACCTATTTCAGATCCGTGAATTGTTATATGCTATGCACAAATATTGCATACATTTTAAAGAAATTATGTGTTGCATTTATTATCAAACGATATAAATAATTAGTATTTATTTTATAAAATCCGCAGAAATACTAAGTGCGTTGATAGAACATTTACAAAATATTTAAGATTTATTACAAAAGTAGTAGCGATATTATTCGTGTATAACAAATATAAGCCGCATACTAATTTTCTGCTGAATGAAAAAAACGGTAAAGATGGCGAGAATCACTGTATTATATTACAAGTTTTAAATCACACACAGATAATAATATTATGTATATTTATAACTTTTTATTTGGCATATTTTTACAGAAGAAATTAATTAAACGATAAAAGATTTACCTTATATATTAATTTCTTACAGCTCAGATCTATAAATATATCACAAAATAATAAATTATACCTTTTTGTATACATAAAGCAATAAACAAGCACTATAGTAGTACTATTATAAGCACCAAATACCAACGATATAAATTGGATTATTTAAAATTTAACATGAGCAAAAGGCGAAATTACTACACTTGAACCCAACCCCCTGCAGGAAAAAATTTCAAAATGCTCAACTTCTTAAAATTAAATAACTACATAGTAATTAGGTAACTGTAACTAATGGCGTTAATAACCAAATTATGATAATCAATAATGAAAAAAAAACAAGCACTATAAAAAATACACACGACTAACTCAAAGTAGAACTGTAATAGAGGATGTCCTATCAAAATGTCATGATAAAAATATCCAATAAAAACGTCAAAAGAAGTAAGATATTTTCGAATTCGACGATATAATTCACAGTTCTGAATTTCATTAGTACTTCCTTAGTAACATCAGATTAAATTAAAATATCATAGACATATAGACATCTACGAAAACGTCGAAAACAAAATTTATTGTACCTACATCAACTGCAATCATAGCAGAAATTTACCAAGTTATTCCAGTCTATAATAAACCTAAAAAATTGAAAATTAATCAAATTAAATTATTATTTGGAAGTGGATAGAGTTAATACGAAAAAATATCATGATTGATTACATTCGTCTGGGAAAAATGTAGTTCACACTAGATTAGGTTTTACTAATCATGTAGCCGATATTAGAAAAGTTGAAACTAAAAAATCAATGGCAAGACTTTAAAAACATTAGAAAAACTACTCAACTTAATACTTAACCTACATTGTACACACTAATATCACATGTATAAAATATATAATAAAAATAATATAAAATTTACAAAAATTTATTTTTAGTTTATTGTTTTAGACTATTTATAAAGTCATAACATAACAACACTTTCCGAGTATAACAGAATTAAAACGCATCATTTAACGAATTATAAAAATTAAAAAATCACCTCCTTTAGACCCAAAATTAATAAATGAACTCTAAATCTCAAATAATTACACAAAAACTATAACTAATGAGCTTTTTTAAAAATATGATAGCATTGATGATGAAAACAATATGGAATGATTTTTAATTTTTACTACCAACACAAAATTAACAATTGATAAAACAATATGAACATTGGTAATGCGATAGTACATTGTCTTATATACTTACTACCAAGTATTTCTAACTAACTCCATATTATTAATAAAATGATTCACTCATATTGTATATTCATAAAATCATAAATAATATTTGGAATTGTCATTCATTATTGAAATATGATATTCTAATTCTGTTGAATATTGACATAATTAATTTAATTTCATGGTATATTTTCATTCTTCAATTTGGATTTTCATTGATTCATTGATAAAAAAAAAAAGTTTGTACTGTCTAAAAGTTGAATTGTACATTGTACAATTGCGTACATTGTTGACATCAAACCACTGATAAAGAAAAAAATACAAAGACCCTATGAAAAGACTAAGATTTAGGTGCTGATTATGAAAGTTTATTAATTGACAACTACTTATATAGAATATTACATAATTTTTAAAATCAAATATAAGAATGAAATGAATAAACTAAATAATAAAATTATGATGATAGCACAACATACTGGATAATAATGGTCAAAAATAACATAAATACTATTATTTTTTACAATAATATTTACATTGCAAACACCTTTAGCAATAAATAAATAAATGTACATAGATTATGTTTAAATTCAAATTTAATATTAAAAACCATTACTCAAATGTATTAATGTATAATAAAAGTTAGCACTTTAAGTTGAAATATTGGTATTTTATCAAAAAAAGGTCAATACTGAGTAATCTAATTTTCAATTTTACTAATTCCAACACAATAAGTTATAACTCTATATGACTTATATAAATTAATATCATAATTAATAACACTGATACCAAACAGTCCAAACACAACTACAACACATGTTTATTATACTTTTAGACTATATTAATTTCAAATCAGAAACAATTTATTCTATAAGAAACAAAACTGCCAATTAATTAAGAACCTAATGAAACAGGGGTAAAATAAAATAGCTGACAATACTTGACAATGAGAACATAAGATATACACATGATTTCCAAGTTGACAAAAATTAAAATAATCAAACAAAAAATGAAACAATAAGAAATTTATCTTTAAAAACCTTAAATTAGTCAACTAAATATCTTTTTTTAAACTATGTTTTTTCTAAACCATGAACTTCAAAAATTTCAGAAAAAAAAAAATTGAGCAATAATTTATTAAAATATATACATAATACTATTGTACAGCATTTCCACAAGGTATATATTATGATTTAAAACATACAATTCAAATTATTTTTTAATCAATAATAAGAGTTTACATGCTAATATTATAATTATTAAAGTCATATAATACCTAAAGCACAGGCTTAATAACTAATAAAAAAATTTTAAATAACAACTCAAGATATAAGGGTTATATTTAACGTGATCAATAAATATATTTTATATTTTAAATGATACTTAACATATATCAAAGATGTGCATGTCATCTTTTATGTATCATGTTTAATCATAATTTCATATCACCAAATTATTTATGACCTATTATTATTGTTATTTTTTTATTGCCTTATATATTCACTAAATTTAAAACAATAATTGTTCGTCTGCCAAAAAATATATTTAACATACATTTTATTGGATTATAATATGTCAAATTAAACTTGGTATAACCAAGTATCTTATCAAATTGTTACTAAAATCCTTTCATATTCCTTACTGATTGTTATGTTATGTTAAATAAAAATATTTACATTTAAGATCAATCAATTCAAAATGAAATTTAGTTATATACCTTGTATCTGAGGATAAGCACCAAATTTACAAGTACAGACTTCCAATCTGGCTTTTGCATATACTTTAATAGATTTTTCTTCGTCAATTTGACAACAGTTCATGCAATGTTCTCTGTAATTAAATATAATTATTTTAATTTATATTAAGTTTAAGTTTAATTATAATCCTAATCATAACAAAGAAAGAAAATATTAAGGTATATATTTTCTTACATATTAATTAATACATAAATTATTTTCGTGCAAAGATTATACATGACGATCAAAATAACCCCATGTTGTTTTTAACATTAAAGTAAATTAGTTTATTAAAAAAAAAATAAGGTATTTCTATTATCAATAAATGATTTGTTTTTATTTAAAACAAGTTATGAGTATTTTATAATTATTGTAAAAATTAACGCACTTGGTTAAAACATTGTCCTGACTTTTAAAACATTTTCTATTTTACTTATTGTTCATGGAATAAAGTATAAAAGTTAATATTGTTATTTAACTTTTAATTTTAACTATTTTAAAATTATGCGTGTAGTTTAATACAACATACATTTCAACAAACTACTTTTAGTTATAAATTATTACTATTTTAATTTTAAATTTATTAGACATAATACATTTTTTTTCTCTGTATAATCCACGATTTGCATGTTCTAAATTATTTTTATTTTTAAAGTACATACATTTTAACAACTTAAAGGTTACACAAATTGTATAATTTTAATTTTTAATTAAATACCGATTATATTTTAAATGACAAAAATCTAACATCACATTTATTAATTATTATAATGAATTGCTCTGCATTTATAATTTATACTTTATAAAAACAATTTTATTTTAAAACCTACACATTTTTTTTGTCCTCTTTTAAAGGCTAAATAAACTAATGTATTTTGTATTATAATACTGGTTTACATTGTATTATCTAAACATATTTTAATATTGTTTAAACATCAAAAATACTTTAACTATAGTTATAAAATAATATTCATACCTTAATGACGTCAATTGAAACTTTTTAAGTTGATCACAAGATGAACACAAAAGGTTTGCTTTATTGAAACCCAGTAATGAACATTCATTGGTCGTATAATCTGCATTGCATCCATTCCCCTGATCAAAAACAAATTAATGTGGTTAGTTACTTTTAAAAATGATAGACAATAGGACATACCAATAACATTAATAGTGGAATTATCAAAAGTTTATTCTGCATATTGGAAGTATCTAGGTATCTTATTAATCTTCCAAGTAGATATTAAATATTTTAAAATAAATTTTAAAAAAAAACAAATTGTCTCAAAACAGTTAAATATATCCAAATAAACTATTTGCTATAAAATTTTCCAACGAATTCAATGTTTTAAAATTATATCGAATTTTTATCTAATTTATTATTATAATACATAGTCTAAATAATTAAATAGTAAATACTAAAATTGTATACACGATTTAAATGATTTGATTCATTTTTATTTAGTTTTTTCTATGTTTTGTTACGGTTATCAATTATCATTAATTGCTATCAGAGTCAAACCGGGTTCATCGTCTATAGTGTCGTATGCCTTTTTTCGTATTCTGATTGGCCGTAGCAATCACGATATGTTTTATTACAAAAAATATTATACCCAGCGGCGAATTTAGGGGGGAGTGCTTGGAGCTGAAGTACCCACCGTTCCACGTATTTTTATTAAAAATTACCAATAAATCGCTGAATGGCGAATTTTTGGTATAGGCTATTAGAACAAAAAATTACATTATACAGTAGACGCCGCTTATAAGACTCACGGATATAAGGTTCAGTAGCTTATTAAACTCAAAATCGTCTGGAACGGTCCATACGTATCCAAATACATTAGAAAAATCGGTTATAAGACTCAAATTTCGTAAAATAAATAGTAGAATATAAACTTTTTTGGTTATAATTTAGAAATAAATTGGTATTGAAAAATTAAATAATATTCGTGTTTATTATTTCTAGTTTTTGTTGGTATCTTATAACGTATAATAATTTTTATCGCAGATAAAAGTTCACATTTATCGTAATATGTAATATTTACCTATTATAATTTTAGTTTTTTTATCGGGATTATTAAATTTATTCAATATTAAAGTATGTAATATGTAATATGTGTTAATGTATTAAAATCAAAGCAAAATATGTAGTAAAATAAAATTTATAAATACGTAATTATTTTTTTTTTCCACTTCACCTATAAGACTCATTCGGTTATAAGACTCTCTATGTGCTGGTCCTAAAGTGAGTTTTATAAGCGGTGTCTACTGTATTACATTGTATTGTTATGTAGGTATTAGGTACCTAATTATTAAAAAAATAAATAAATTTGAAATTACTTATAATTTTTATATTGTTTGATTATGAAATAAATTCAAAATGCATGCACGATGCAAGACTGGGTTTCCTTACTGTTTAAGTACAAAATTATTAATTTTTTTTCCCCAAATTGTACGTAATAAGTACTTAGGGACTATTATTAACAAAATAGCATCCACCATAAAAAAAAATCCCAGATCTACCACTGATTGAAACTTGAAACCATATAATACATGAACACGATATAAATTATAACGATAATAATTTACTTCTCATGTATTTACCTAATACCCTGACATTTTCAGAACAAATATGCTTAGCTTAACTTTTAAATGATATAAAGCGATAGACGACGTAGCTGCAAACCACGATTACCTACTAAATTGACATCATAATATTCTGAATCTGAACGACTGAACACTACTATTACCATATTTAAGAATTAAGATCATCTATACAGTACCGCTGTATAGAAATACCTATACAATATTGTGATAGTTCAACATAAGAAATATAATATAATATACGTACTTTAAACAAATATTTTTTTACATTTTGTTAAATTTAAAGAAAAATTAGTACATATGAAATAGAGAATAATAAAAAATATATTTAAAAAGAAAAAATGTGCTGGTTGTACTATGCGCCTATATTCAGTCACGAATGTTACAATAATAATAAAGTTGCATACAAATAGTTTTAAAAAATCCCTCCAAAATAATTACAAGCCTGTAGCAATATTGAATAGCATCTAATACCACCTACCGGCTACCAGTATTACCAGTAGACAAAACATTTTAAAAATGATGATCTAACTGGCAACACTACCATTAAAATATTAAATTAAATTAAATTCGTCAATAATAATTAAATTAGTTAATAACATCATTGAAATATTAAAAAACAACTTACTGGTATTTTTTTATTAGGTACGTCAAAATCATGAATGTTTGTGTTCCATAAAAATTAATAAAAAAAGAATCAAAATTAATATTACAAAGTCTTTGATAAATAACCTCAAACATTCAATAATTCCCTTCGACCCCTCGACAGCCAAAGTATTGTTAATATAGTGATTAGAATTATCAAACTACATACTTTACGCTTGTTATTGGTAATTGTCTAGTTTGAAGTTTCTTTTCCATTTTGCGTGGATTTTTCGGACCACGAGAATATTAACTTAACTTTGCGGATAGAAGTCAAAGGTAATTTTTTAGAATACTAACCACTAACCATTTATTAATTTCATTTTTAATCGATACGCCTTAATTTTAAAGATATTGAACCATTGAATTACTATAAACGCCAAAAAACTATAACCACGTGGCTTATTATATTTTAAACTCATTTATTACAAATAAAATTCTTTTTATTTTACTAATTTACTATTATTATTGGTTTGTAGCAAAATGCAGATCTTCGTTAAAACGTTGACGGGGAAAACGATCACTCTCGAAGTAGAGTCGTCGGATTCAATTGAAAATGTTAAATCCAAAATTCAAGATAAAGAAGGTAAATACTACATTTAATTTATAGCTACTCATGTATTATGATTCCAATACTAGTCAAATTCGATTGCTCCATTTTATTTGCTCCCTATGAAATCGTCTATTTTCCATTTTTATCATTACTGACATTGCCATTGAATACCACTATTGTTAAATATAAATTAACAAAAATTGAAATACATCAAAATTAATTATGATTACTATCTTGATGGCATTTTATACAATCATACATACAATAGCGATTTCATTTGATGAAAAACACTAAGTTTGCGTGTGTTGTGTTCTCTTTAACTATTGTGTCCATGGACCATAATTGTTTATCGTTTAAGAAAATGCTTGAGCACTGTTTGTGCTGTTTCTATATTTCAAATGTTTAGCATTCAATTTGTTCGTTTTAACATAAATTTTTAATGTTATATGTTTGTAAAACAGACAATACTTTTGAGTTTAGCATTCTCTAAATACAGTAGATTTCTTCTCGTCCGGCTTTGGCTAGTCTTCCACTCTGGTTGATTAGAACATAGTATCGTTGATATATACTAAATTTCTAAAAATAATGTAATCAGGTGTTCAAAAATTTGTTCTTATTAATGATTAATGAACATTATTGTTACTAGTTAGAGAAACAAAATTTCAATATATAGGTAATTAATAAATATTGTACCCATTTAAAAATTGTATGCACATTATACATGCATTCAGATACATTGGATTGTAATTTTTTATAATCCAACCTTTTAAATCATTAGTAGTTTTTTTAATATCTTATTCAATAATAATAAAAATATCCTCTTTTTCCAACATTTTATTGAGAAGAGTTGACATAATGTATTGGTTTCTGAACTACAATTTTGTAACGTTTCATTTAATGATCTACTCTTCCATAACTATTATTGTAGAATTGTTAATTAATTTTATCAAGAACAGTTATTATTACTATCTAACTACAGTAAAATAGAAATTGAAATATTTATTAATTTTATAATAGTTGTACTAAAAATTATGGATTACAAAACACAATAATCTCACTAATGACAAAATATGCAGTTATATGTAATTTGAAATACTTAAATTTTAATACTCGATATAGTGCATATATTCAGTATAAATATGCAAATGCATAAAATTCTGGGCTCTACTTATAATGCATAAAATAAAAATCATGACTTTCCCTTGTCCTTCAGTATCTTACAGTTTTATTAATTAAAATTAAAAATTTTACCTTTTATAAATTATTGTTTGAATGTCAATACCAAAAAAAAAAAATATAGGTATATTTATTGTTTATAAAATTAAACTACCTATAATTTTAGATAAGACTGTTTCTGTAATTTATGCCTTATTTCATATTTGTAAAAAGAACTTCCTGTAAATATTCATAACATATATGAATTAGAAAATAAAAGAATATTTATTTTAACATATCTCTTTTTATTTTGAATTTTGTATATTTATCAGTTATAGAGTTAAAAGTTTATTATTATTAGTTGATAGTTTCATAATTTTAGTGAAATCCATAATAAAATATTTACTTGATAAAACTAGATAATTTATTGATCATTGATAAGTTAATTAAATGTAGTTGAAAATAATTATGAATATTTTTCATGTTCCAAATATATTTTATCATAAGTTAATTAAAAAAATAAATTTAGGTATTCCTCCGGATCAGCAACGTTTGATTTTTGCCGGCAAACAACTTGAAGATGGCCGTACTCTGTCAGATTACAATATTCAAAAAGAATCTACCCTTCACTTGGTTCTTAGATTGAGAGGAGGTGCTAAGAAACGTAAGAAGAAGAATTATTCTACACCCAAAAAGATCAAGCACAAGAAAAGGAAGATCAAGTTGGCCGTGTTGAAATTTTACAAAGTAAAATAGTTTTTATTGATATATGTTTTAGCAATCATTTTAATTTTTTATATATTTTTTAGGTTGATGAAAATGGTAAAGTTATCCGTTTGAAGAAAGAATGTACTTCTGAAAATTGTGGTCCAGGTGTATTCATGGCTGATATGCCAAATAGGCATTATTGTGGCAAATGTTCAGCTACTGTACCAAAGTAGAGATGACATTTGTATATTTTAATACTTAATATAAAATTAAAAAAAAAAAAATTGTTTTAATATTTATTACCCATTTGAATTCAAACCTTTATCCAGTTAAACTCATAAATCGGATTTTCATACTCTAATAATTATATTTTTAAAGCTAAAATTTTTTATGATTTTTTTGTAATTTACCTAATGTGTAACATTTGAAAATATCATGGCCCCATTAGTTTTTAACTTTAATTTTAAAGTGAAATTCCCTATTTTCAAAGTTAAAGGCTCGTTATCAATGCAATGGGTCTGGAATTTTTGTAATATTTAATTTTTAGCTACATATAAACATTTACAACTTGTAATATTTTTCTTATTCTTACATATATTGCTTAAAAATTAAAATATTGGAAAAAATCTAAAGCTAAATCACTGATAATGTTGGAGCTTTTAATTTTGATTATTGGTGAACTAATATTTAAGTAACAACAGTGTATACACTTATTTATTGAACACAGATTTGCTATGTAGTATTTAAGACAGAGACAACACCTACATGTGCAGTGCCCTCTTAAGTATAATAATAATAAAATAAAATAAAAGTAATTACAATATATTTGAGATCAACGATCAATGAGATTGTAATATTTTTGATACTTAAATTATTACTCAAACAATATAAATCAAGCTTTTGCAAGATATGCAACACTTGACAGTATAAATACTGTTTATAATTTTTGTCTTTTTCATTATTTATCTTATTTAATACGTTTAAAAAAATGTTAAAAATTGTAAAACGGTTTTAAAAAATTCTTAGATTAAAAATAAGTTGTAATATCTTGTCTCAACATTACTTGATTAACTTAGGTTTCCCTTATTACTAATTATACAATAATTGTTGCTAAAATACTTAATTTTACTATGACCCACTATTCTAATACTTACATAATGAAATTAATATGATATCTTTATTATTATTATGCTATTTACATATTTCTGATTCAAGTAAAATAAAACTAAGAATTTTTGACTGACTAATATTCAATCTACAAAAGTGTTCTGTTGGTCGCTGTTGTTGAATCAGCGATCTTCATTAATGTTTTTTTTATTTTTCATACATGCATATGCTATAGAACTAATAATTATATTTATTAAATTATTACAACAATATCTAATAATTGATGCACTATCAGTATTTAATGAAAATGTCATGATGAAATATGTACATTGTACATGTTGTAGGACTTAAAATACATAATTTATGACATTATTTGTATAAAATAATTTTAGTTGAAATATTTAAAATCATTCATTCTAAAACATATAGTAGTGTCACTAAATTATATTCATGCATAAAAATATTTCATTATAATTTATTTTATAAAAATAACTTTACAAATCAGTGTTTGGAATTTGATCAGTTTACCTGGGAAGTACAGTGTATCTAGTGTATATGTGATTTTACAAAATGTTATTAGTGTAAGTACTACAGTTTGTTACAGAAACATTTTATTACATAAATGTTCCTGATGTGTTCATGTTAATGTGTTTGCCGACGTTAATATATACTTAATGTAGGGTGACTATTTTTATAAAAATAAAAAAACGGGACAAACAATTTTTTATTAATATGATAAATTTTTATTTTTTCCAATTACATATAAGATAGGTAATAATACCTAATTAATAAATAATAATTAAATGTTGCTCTTATTGAAATTATTTTATATTTTTCTAATACATTAATATTTTTTTACAAAAATTAATTAATAATATAGAAATAATGGGATTTAAACGATATCATCTTTTAAAAACAATAAAAAGCGTCCCGTTTAGACTTTGTCAGGACAATGGTACGTGATGATCAAAAAAGGGACAATCTCGTTTTAAACGGGACATATACGGTTACCCTAATAAATAATATAATGATATTACCTATTCGAATTGAATAATAAATTAAGGAATACAAAAATACGAATAAGGTTGATTATAGAATAGATGAATTTATATTTATTTTATATAGATACTCGATGGTGAATTGTTTATGACGTAGCCTATGCGGCTATGCCCTATACTTTATGTACATAAATGTAACTAAATAGTTTAGCGATAAAAGTATAAGTGAAAATGTCAAACAGCTGGATTATTATAGTAGAAATAGCGACCGCCGATATCATACAGTTAAACTATGTAATAGATGCAAAGTGGTGTGTTTTTACAAAAACAACTAAATCCTTCAAATGTTTAAAAATTAAAGCATTAGCTGACATACAAAACTGTACGGATGTTTTTTAAAATTTAAAAAAAAAATTTGAAATGCATAAATCAATAGAATGTAAATATTTATACTAAGTTAATAACCGTATTTCGTTGGGGCATATAAAAATAGTCAATAACAATATATATAAAGAAAATGCATATAAATAATGTTAAATGTAATTATGTATAAAATTATTTGCCCGTGATTCAAGTATAATGATATTTATTATGAACGCGAATCTATGTAAAAAATAATGCATAATAAAATAAATTCGACAAAAACTGTTTATTTTGTGGATGGCTGAAAATAAAATAACATGCAACCAAGGAGACTGCCGACGGGACGATTTCGGCGTGAAGTACAAACAATATATGGTTCAGTTTAACTCTGCAATTCTATCTGATTCTATCGGAAAATAAAGTCAATTGTAAAAAATTTTTTCATTACGTACTTACACTTTACATATACATAATGGAGAATAAGCGTAAGCACGCGTTAGTTGATGACGATGTTAATGAAGAATATCAAATCAACAAAAAATTAAGAACCTACGATGTTCAAAGTAAGTGTACAAATTAACGTTTTATTTTATTGTTAAGTATTAATTGTTATGATATACGCTACAGAAAATTCGCGCGATAATAGTTTATCATCGGGCAACTTGGGTGATGACGAAGATGATGGCTCTTCATTAAAGAGTTGTATTCAAGTGGAAAGTCCTGCAAAAGACAATCCTCAAGATTGTTCTGAAGAAGTTTCGAACGATGAGGTCACTTACCCAGTAAGTACAGTACCTACCTATATTTATTAGATAGTCTCTGCAGACTTGGCTATTCATTTATTATTATAGTTTATAACTATGATATTTTTCCTTTTAATTTTCAATAAAATTTCCAAAATTATTTTTTAAAAAAGATTAACCTATGAAAAACAAGGATAAGTTGCTGTTTTGTAATGTAATATGTAGACCTCGATTTAATTGTTCTTGATCTTAATACATTTAAATAACTCAAAAATACCTTCTTATTTTCTGAAGTCAATCCATACATAAATATATTTTTCTTTCGACACAAAGTTTTAGACTTTGTTTTTTTAAATAAGTCAGAAAATGTTTTTATACATTATTTATACTCGTATAGACTATTGGATATATGGAAAAGGTGATAGCTTGGAATTGTAATCCGGAAATTTCTCAATCATATTTTTGGAATAATGAAGAAAGGACCATTCCAGATAATGGTATTGGTACCATGATGGAAGATGATATTTTTGATGACACAATTTCAATTGTACGTAACTTTATTTTTCTTAGATTTATACCAATACCTAAGAGTGATCATTTCAAATTTTTATAAAACTACAACGTATATAGGTTTTCGTAACACAATAATTAGTCACTTTTATATTAAATAGGAAAAAATATGTTAAATACAGACATTACTGTTAACCAGATTTATTTATGTAGCATAAACTTTTCCTCGAAGAGGTCAGATATTTTACTACTTTTATATTATAATTTGCTCATAAATTATATTCAATTTTCCAAATAGCGAAATATGTCATTATTATACGCTGATGACTTAAAAAATCAATCGTATTATTAGAACCTTCATTGAAATATAAAACATTTAGTTAAGATTACATAATATTTTCGTTTCGTTCTATGATTTTTATATAATACTAGCCGACCCGTCACGGCTTCGCCCGTGATTGGTTGTTTATTTTACCTTCCGATGATCATATATTAATATGTAGAATTTTTTATTCAAATTTTATGGTTTTAATGGTAACCATGGTTAAAAAACAATAACTTTAATAATAATATTGGATATGCGTAAAAATGACCATTTTTCTTAATTTATTTTATTTTTTTATAAGCAAAAGTGATACTAAAACCTTTATCAGACTACCAGGTTTAATACTAAACAATTTTAGCCAAATCGGTTCAGTAGTTTTATCGGTTAGCGCGGTCGACGGTCGTAGACACCCCTTACAATTTTATATAGTAGTATAGATTTATTTGTATTTTTTTTTTTATAATTTCAATTCAATTAGACGAGCTCGAGTGCAGTTTCTGTTAAATCTTCGGCTAGTCAGGAGATGAAATATTTATTTACCATCGACGTTGACTACGGAGATTCTGATGATGACTCTGATGAGGACTCTGATGATGACTCTGATGACGACTCTGATGATGACTCTGATGAGGACTCTGATGATGACTCTGATGAGGACTCTGATGATGACTCTGATGATGACTCTGATGAGGACTCTGATGATGACTCTGATGATGACTCTGATGAGGACTTTGATGATAAATCTGGCTCTACAGGCTCTAGAGAAGTGTGTATATTATATTGTATAGCTGTACAAATTTTACACTACCTATTTCATTAAAATATATTTATTTATTTTTATATTTTAAATTTTATTAGACAAAATCAGATGATGGGCAATAGTCACTTCTTGTTTAATCAATGATTCGACAATAGGTAAGTTGAATAGACTTTTTTTTTTGTTTCTACTCTTCTTCCTATCTTATAATCAATTACTCAATACACATATTAAGCTTTAAATTTTTCAATTTGAATCAAATTTTAAGTTTCTATACATTATTTTATAGTTTTATACTCTTACGTATATCCAAAACAACAAATAAAAAAAAGCTTAGTACTAAAATTAATATAAAAAATAATTGATTTACAATAATGATCACATAATAATCTATTTGATACATTTATAATATTCTATTAAATAAAATTATTTACTCATACATCAATTCAAATTATTCTTATAATATAAATCTATTAAATGTTATATAAATGTATAATTACAGATAACACTTTTGAAATTTCAATATTCAATTTAAATTTAAAGATCATAATTGAAATAAATATGAATTTATAAATACATAAAAATTAAAAACATATCTACTTATAAAAAAAAGTTTGAAATTCTATAATTACTTACGTTTTAAGTTATATTAACATGTGTATTTTATATTTTAATAACAATAATTTATGTAAATATTTTTCTTTATAGAGAACGGACCAATTTTATGATTTATACATTACAATACTTCCGTTCAAAGCTAATCAATTCTGCAAATACATAAATTGTCAGTATAGTCTATGAAACTATACAGTACCTTAAAATGCATAAATGCATAACGGCATGATCAATTAAAATATGCACACATATTTTAAAATATGTGACATATAAATATTTATATTTTTTTTATATTTTTATTTATTTATATGACATATAAATATATCTAGATTTTGTTAAAACCACAAATTTACGGTTAATCAAACCATTCATTTTTTTTTAATATTATGGGCAAATTTTCTACCATCATTTTTATGTACTATATTATATTCTATGAATCTTAAAATTTTTTGCAAATGTTTTTACTATTTTTTTCTATTATAAAAACAAATTTATATTGTACCAAATTTTCTACCATCATTTTTATGTACTATATATTCTATGAATCTTAATATTTTTTTGCAAATGTTCTTACTATTTTTTCTATTATAAAAACAAATTTATATTGTACTCAATTGTTTTTATCATGTATTATTTATTATTGTATTATATACAAAACAAAAACTATAAGCATTATATACTATTGTATATTTCAAGTTGTAAATTATAAATTAAAAAATATTTTGTTTAAACATAAGTGTACAAGTCATTTTTGTAATTATACTATTTTAATACTTATAACTTAAAAAATAACAACTATGAGAAAATAGCATAGATTACTGTAGTTACTATGACTGCGGTAAATTTTAATTTAATGATCGAATGAAATTATATTAACCGTATATGCGCTGTCAGTTTAGTATACGTTGTTGTTTTATACTTAAAAAATATTGCTGTAAATAACGTATCTAATTTATTTTTCTGTTATAAATACTATAGGTTGAATTTTTTTATCAAAAATATTACATACGCATAATTCCTTTTTTCAAATCCTAAAATTATTAGTAAAAAAGAAACAATAATATTATAGATAGTTATTTAAAATCAGTGAGTGTTCTGCTAATTTTATTATACCTGACTTTAAAACCTGAAAATGAGAAATTTTTATTTGAACCATGCGAAACGTTATAAATTATATAATATTATAAAGTTATATTTTCTAAGAATATTAATTTATATATAACCACATAAAACGTTTATTGTAGTTTTTTTTTTTTAATTAAAATTAATTATTTACGTTTATTTAAAGTATTCGTTTTTTTAATTATTTTATTCGTATTTTTATGTGTTGTGTTACTTTCTTGTATGGCAATGAAAAAATGCATAACGCGAATCATTTAACTTTTTATAATGATAATGTATGATAATTATATATAAGTTTTAAAAATGTCATCAATCATCATTCTTGTTAAAGATTATTGATATACTCAATTATTTTATACAAGTGTAATTAAGTACCTATTTTATTTATCATTAAGATATAATAATACAACAAATTATAGTATTATATAAATAATAGATGGTGATCAGGGCCGGACTGGGTAGGGTCCGGCCCAGTATCCCAAATATAATAGCGGCCCTACTCTCTGAGTATCTGACTATAAGCGTAATTTATATTTAATAATTTATTAAAAATATTGATAATTTGACGATCTTCAACATGGGTAGAACTTTTAGGAGCAGAAGAATTTATATCGATACTGGTTTCCAATTGAGTAGATATATTTTCTTAAATATACATGTTATTATATTATGATGATAAAAAATTAAAAATACATATTTATTTTGAATGTATGTGTTTTTATCCAAAGAAACCTTCTGCTTTTAATTAAACAATTGCTATACATAGATAATAAGTAGGTATGTAATATGGGTATGTATATTAGTTATTAGTATTACAAATTATAACACATAATGTCATAGGTTTAATAAGGCACTAACTAGTTAACAAGTCATCATTAATATTTTATAATGTATGTATATGTACCTATATCTTTTAAAAGATACAATATACAAACATTTGAAAAGTAAATATTTAAATTAATATTTATAATAATTTAAAAGTATGGTTGGTAAAACTAAAAAGAACTAGCCACTAGACATAACATTGTTACTATATTACCGATTGGCAATTATTAATTTTGAGTAGAGCAATTCTTTTTTTATTTTGTAACAACATTTTCTTGAAACTACATAGGTAAACCAGTGTCACAGTCCCAGATTTCAATAATATTATGATTTCACCATTGTACAAATGTACAATGCATAAAATTAATAGTTTTAATAAAAATAAATGTATGTGTAATTCAGATAATAATATGTAATTCAGAAAATCAGATAATATGAATGTATAATAAATGAATCTATTTTTAGCAAAACTATATGTTTATTTTTCCCACGGAATGATTTATCATTAAAGAAACTTGATAATGAAACGATACTGACTTAAGCCCGATTCACACTTCACACTGTTACGGCACGGCACGGACCGTTACAGTACGTAACGGCACGACAAATCGTCCAACTATTCACACTTGTCCGTCATCCACCGTCAAATATGTGATCACTCATCACAAACCACTAGCGTATCCGTGTAGGTACTTAAATATTGATTGTTATACGCAGCTAGGTCGTCGTTCTGTGCAGTTCAGTGTTTAAATGATTGTAAAATGTTTCGAAATTTTTCAAAGTCAGATTTGGCTATTGTTAGCAATTTTATTAGATGAAGAAGAAGAAAGCTGTACGAAGAATGTTCAACAAAAGTCTAAACGAAAAAGAAAAATTTGGGTCCATGATATTTTGAAAAAAAGAAAAACTGAAGGCGAATTTGCAACCCTATGTCGCCAACTCGAGGATCACGAAGATAAGTTTTTTAAGTACTTCCGAATGTCCAGATTTCAGTTTAATACTCTACACCTAAAAATAAAAAATCAAATTTCCAGACAAAATACACAGTTTAGAGAGTCAATACCGGCTAAAGAAAAACTAGGTGTATGTTTGAAGTAAGTGGTTTTATTATATTAAATAGAAATCATTATTTAATTTTTATGTGAGTTAATTTATAATTGTACCGTATGAGATTGTACCATATATTTGAATTAAGCTGTAGCTTTATGTTTGTTTTGTTATATCTATTTAAAAAAAACTATTCCTACTTTGTAGTATTTGATAACATTTCTAATAACTTAAGTTTTTTAGATTATCTTATTTCATGTAGGTATTATTAATTTTTTTAAGTTTAGAGAACATTAAACCATATATTATATAATTTAAATGTAAATCGGTTAGGACTTAAATTAATTTTTAATAAATTAATTAAAAAAAAAAAAGAAATTATTATAATAATAATATTATGGATACTATTAAATTAAATACTAAAAAAATATATATAAATTATAATATTCCATATTATTTTTAGGTTCTTGGCAACTGGAGATTCGTACCAGACGATAGCCTTCAGTTTTCGATTAGGTCATTCGACTGTGCAAGGAATCGTCATCGAAGTATGCAATGCAATTATTTTAAAACTAAAAGAAGAATGCATCAAAACTCCTCAAAAAGAAGATTGGGAGCGAATAGCAAATGAGTTCTGGGAAATTTTGAATTTTCCCCCAATTGCATTGGTGCTTTGGACGGAAAGCACGTTATGATTGAAGCCCCTCCAAACACTGGCTCTTTTTTTTATAAAAAAAAACTTTTCAATTGTTCTTCTAGCATTAGTTGACGCCCAATATAAATTTACTGTTATCGATGTTGGTGCGTTGGAAAGAATAGTGATGGAGGTATTTTATCACATTTAAATTTTGGAAAAGCTCTTGAAAAAAATTAACTTAATATTCCAAATAATCGAGTATTACCGGGTACAAATGAAAAATTACCATACGTTATTATAGGTGACGAAGCTTTTCCATTAAAGAACTATTTACTAAGACCATATCCAGGACCTCAAATGTACAACGAAGTAAAAACAAAAAATTTAATGAACGGCTATCAAGGGTTAAAAAAGTAGTTGAAGACGCCTTTGGTCAATTGACAGCCAAATTTCGTATATATTGTAGACGACTAAAATTGTTACCAGAAAATGCAGTTAAAATAGTAATGACCACGTGCATTTTACATAATTATATTAAATAAGACTGCAGTGGAATTCATACCAGTGAAGTAGCCGATACAACATCTTTGGGTAATTTATCGTCATTTTCAAAACAAGGAGATAGTGCACAAAGGCAAGCGTTTGAATATCGTGACCAGTTTAAGGACTTTTTTAACTCTCCAACAGGAAAATTATCGTGGGAGTAGATACAACAAAATAATTTAAATGTTTATACATATATTTTATTATTTTTAACGTACTTTGTATTCATTAATTAATCAGCTGTTTAAAATTCAATTTTATATCAAATATTACAGTCCAACAGGATTACAAAATTTTTTTTTAAGTTTGTGTATGATAAATTAAGTACGTTTTATTAGTTATAAAAATTTATTATAAGTTTGTGGAAATTGAAAATAGTTTTTTCTGCTAAAATACTTTTAAAAATTGTCTACAAATATGTTTTAATATATAACATTAACAACAATATTTTATTTTTAATCTTTAATTTTGAAAAATAAAATTTTTTTAAACACAATATTATACAGCTTTTATAGTATTTTAGTTGCTAGTACCTTCCCTTATATTTTATACAGTTGCTGATATACATTAATTAACGTATATAGTATATACTATTATGTGATAGATTACGTACAATTTACCAATTGTACGCACTGAAAATGCCTGCAATAACGTGTTCCTGCAGGACAAATTACAGCAGTGATATGCACTCGCATGTAAAATAATCGACGATGGTGTCGAAGGTATTTTAATATTGAACTGTGTAAGTTCATATCACAAGTCACAACGTACTGAGCTATACACATTTTATATTTCAATTAAAAATAAGCGGTTTTAAGTACTTACTTAAAATGAATAGAAATGCTTATTGAATTAGTTCGAGAACGATTGTCGTTATACGATATGAAAAAAATATAGTGACCACCCTTATAAAGAATCGCTGTGGAGAGAAATTTCCAGTGAAATAAATCAACCCGGTATGTTTACAATTAAAGTATAAAATTACTATTTTTTTTTTTT